TATAAATACCCAGACCCTAGAAAAACACATAGTGCTTTCTATTTTCTAGGTTCTGGGTATTTATATGTGTATGATACGTATTTATTTACAAAATAAAAGTATATTTAAGTATGTTTATCAGATATCTAGAACACATAGTACAAGCGTTGCTTAGTTTTGGACTAGAGATCGTTGAGTAAAAACTGTGTCCCAATATATTTATTCATTTATCAAACTATTTTAGACGCAACAACGACTACTGTTGCCGAGGAAGCAAAAAGTATCTAGCATAATATCCCACTTCTGCGGCACCTCTGAACAGGATATAGGCATAGCCGACCACGCAACCCCAATACGGATCGGCGGGAATCTCAACAAATGGTTTTTAGGGTTCCGTACACAAAGGGTAAAACGGGACCCTATTACTAAGAGTCCACTGTCTGTCTCTCTGTCTGTCACCAGTCCTTATCTCATGAACCGCGATAGTTACATTTTTACGCCACTATTTTTTTTGCCATTTTTATAAATAATGGTACGGAACCCTTCGTCCCCGAGTCGGACTCGCACTTGGCCGGTGTTTTCTTCATATTTATCCACATACCAGACCGTACATGATCGTCAGTGCAATCGCAACTACGTTCCTAATCACTCCCTTACACTAATTGCCCACACTCCGATTGTTTTACACGTGTAGTTTTTACGCGTTTTACGTTTACACGTTTTAATCTTCTTCTCTAATATTTAAATCTTCTTCATCTTTTAATGTCGATAGTAATAATAAATGATCTTTCGTTTGCCATCGTGGTGAAGTCGTTAGTTTCGCGGCTTTAGTCGCTACTAAAGTGGAGGGCCCGAACAAAGGTGACTCCCTACGAGAAGGTTTACTACATGCCCCCTTTACTAACTGACTTCAAAATAGAAGGACGAGGTTTCTCAATTCGACCGTACATATTTTTTGTGTGTTTGCAGATAACTTCGTCATTTATGAACCGATTTTGTTGATTAGTTTTTAGTGGAAAGGAGATATCCCAAGGGTGGTACCATGATAATGAAACCCGGATCTGATGATGGCATCCCAGAGAAATCGAGGGCAATCCTCAAATGTTATAGGTGTTTACAATGTTTTTAGTATCCTGTATGAAGTCCGTTTTTTTTTTTAATTGTCTTCTTTACATAGTATAAAACAAAGGCGCTCCCGCTGTTTGTACGCTTAGATCTTTTAAACTACGCAACGGAATTTAATGCAGTTTTCAGCAATACATACATACCAGCGGGAGGTTTATATATATTATACATGAATATTATAGCAGAGGAAAGTCGGAAAATTCCATATCTACATTGCACCCGTGCGCAGCCGGGGCCGGATGCCAGTCTTACATTAAGAGAAGCTTGTATCGGGTGTACCAGCCTCCGCAAATCCGTGCGCTTCATGAATATGAATATGCTGATTCGACCCCTTTATGATCAGCCCATCTGTAATTGACTGTGACGGATTAGGACCCTTGCTGTATTTTGAGTGGTTAACCCTACTCATAATTATCATTGTATTTGGCGAATACTAGAGCTGTGACAGCTCAGGGTCCGGGCGCTCTACTTAAATTTAATGTAGGTACTCAGGCAACCTGAGTTCGATCACCGGTAGCGGCACCAGTGAAATTGTTAATTTTAAGTACTGACTTATTACCTCCTCAGTGGTGAAGGAAAACATGTCGTGTGGAAACCTGCATTAACATCGCCTACTGTACGATTTTTAATCATGTATTGTATCGTTTTACAAACACAATTGAAACAAGGAAAAAGATCCTGGACAATTGCATGATTTTTGTACTGTAATTATCTGCAGGCCATAAAATTATTTGCTCCTGGTGGGAAACGAACCCACGACACTCATTGCCGGAGTCAAGCACTAAGTAACTGTGCTAACCTATTTGTCATAATTAACGTCCCGACTGAATATCAGTATCATTCGCACATAGAGGGCATAAATATAAGTGCCATTGGAGAGACAGTAAATAATGCACAGATATGACAATCCATCACAGTCCGATGCAGAGGCGGCTCTGAAACTGATGAATTAAGGACTATTCCCCATTTGTAGTGTTATATGTCGTATGACACTTTCGTGTTTCGATAGGTGAGTGAGGTATCCAGGTTCCACTTTTTAAAATGTTAAGGCATCTACAATCCCCCAGGTGTTGCAGATGAGCGGCGGTAATCACTTAACATCAGGTGAACCGCCTGCTCGCTTGATGACTTTTCACGTTTATAAAAAAAAGTTGTTTTTATTGCTAAGATTTATTTATGTCTAGATAGAATGTCAAGGCAAACATCGCCATTTCTAATTTTTTTGTATGCTTGTCTAACACCCGGCTTCTGTTCGATACTAGAAACTTTAAATTACACATCATGTTACACAAATATATTATTTTATATTTTCTTTGAAACATGAACGTAATAAGTATAGAGTATATAAGGTATATGATTATAGATACTCATGATCATACTTGCTACATTCCTAAACTTCGCTAAAATAACTAACCTGTGAACATTATGTTAAACGAAATAAAACAATAAAAAATTCTATTAGTGCCTTTCTCTTTTGATCTGTTTTTGAACTGCTTTCGGTATCTTCATGAAATATTACGTACGAATCGAGGCCTCAAAGAATGTTTTAAACAAAACAGGCTTAGATTAAACTTCGGCCCATTTAATTAGGATATGTCGTTATATCGTACATAAATGACATGATTTAAGTTATTTATTAGAATCGAGAGCAGCGTGCAGTGCGAGAAAGTAGACACAAGCGCATTAGGACACATTTGTAATAAGATATCGTGTTCGGGGACCGAGCTTATTACGTGATTTCCCCCGAGAAGAACACGCCAAGTAAGATAACACATATTACGCTCTTTACTACGCTAGGTACTTGTTTCAAACAAGCTACTAAGGAGTGCGCACGATTGTGTTTAGTTAATATGGAAGGGGACTTAAGTACGTTAACGGTGATAGAGCCACGCAGCAGCCTCGGCTGTTGCACGAATGGGCAGGCCCGTCCGGGTAAGTACCACGACCTCACAGAAGACCGGCGTAAAGTGGAAGTATGACAAATACTTTCGCGTTTCGTCTGGTGAGTGAGGTAGCCGGAGCCCAATTTCCAAAAAAGGTTGTCAACGCATCTGCAAACCCCAGGGTGTAGCAGATGTCCATGGGCGGCGATATTTACTTAACATCAGGTGGACCGTCTGCCCGTTTGGCAACTTTTGACATTAAAAAAAACGTCGGACACACCTTCAGGGTTCCCGCCGGATAACACTTCACAACATTTAGCGTAACAATAAACACCGTAGTTCGCCCTCGCCTCCGAGCACGGCGAGACCAACACAACGCGTACACAAGGTACATCTGCGTTCCAGGTCGGTTCTCACCGCCGCCAGCCACCGACTAACCAAACACAGTTAACGGCCGCACCGAACCTCGATGACCCTTAGATGACATACCATAATAAAACGCACGCATGAGCACATGCACGGCCCTACCTAATGTGGAGGGCCCAAACCCGTGGGTTCTGTGCTAACCCAATGGTTCTGCGTTCGATGAAGCTTTAATAGTGTCGCGACTGAAACCGCAAATATCTGTTAATACAAGACAAGATACTATATAGTTTACGAAAGTTTAATTAATAACATCAAGGTAATCGTCAATATAGAACAAACAAACATTGGCAGATCACGTTACGCTATCCACTCGCTAAACGGTATAGATTAATTAATAATTGTAACAGAAAAGTAATTCTCAAAACAATTGTTTTTTGAAATTGAAAAAAACAATGTTATCGACAAAAAATTTTAAAAAGTCATTTTTTTTATTGATAACTTTTCTTGTGTCGTAATAACGTTTAACAAACATAAATTTGACACCCAGATACAAAGCAGCTATCTGTGGGACTCACAAATAGTTGTCCCGTTTTGGAATAGAACCTACGACGCCCGAAAGCCAATACCGTGGCAACTGCGCCACGGAATAATATATAAATTTATTAAAACAAAACTATTGTTTATTTTGATGAAAAATTCATTACAAATTAAAAATAAATTTTTCTTCTCTTTGCGGAAGACACGCCGAATTTCCACCAGTTCCTGAACCAGGCCGAGTGCTTATGACGTTACAATACTAATTATTTCTACTCATAAGTTACCTGACTTTATATCAATTGCATGCAATATACAGTCATATTATAAATGCGAAAGTGTGTTTATTTCTCCTTTTTTCACGTCGCAACGGAGCGATGTTGTTGTATGATTTTTGTGGGTGGAGATAGTTTGGCTGCGGAGAGTGACATAAGCTACTTTTTATCGTGGTAAGGCATCTCATTTTTATGAGCACCTTGCGATAAGATGCGTATTTGAATCACTAGTACACTAAAAGTAACAATGTGTTGATCCTTCTTTAACTTCGTAAATAATATCTAGATTGTAACAAATTTATTTAAACATATTAATGTTATGTATATAAACATTTATACTAATAATGTTTATAGTTGGAAAGTTGAAGTGCGAACTATCATTTAAAATAATCTTCGATTTATATGTATAATACATTGCGTATAATAAATACATTCGTCCGCTGAGTGAGGTAATCGTGGCCAATTTTGTAATTTTTGGCAACGCCTCTACAAACAGTCCGTTTTTATACATGTTCATGGGAGGCGGTACTCGCCAACCATCACGGGAAACACTTTATATTTCATTTTAATAATTGCAGAAGAGCTAGACGACTACGAAACTAATGTAAACAAAGATAGAAGAAGAAAATGTAATCCACCTTAAAACTAAAATTAACAGTTTTCAATTAACAGTTCCAGTAGAATAAAATTAAATCAAAGCTAAAATAGAAATAAAAAACTCAATTACTTCTCTAAGGTCCAGATCTAATTTTAAAATTAAATTAACGGAGGGAATAATAAATGTCAAGGCTTAAATTTTACACTTAAATTAGCGGTGGGAACATCATTGGAGCTATTAATATATCGTCGGTTTTGAGTAGGCACCGCTTAAGATGACGGTTGCTGTGGACTTCTCAACGACGAAGTAGAGGACGGGCCGGTTGGCGTTGAAATACACGGGCTCCACCAATTCAGCGAGTCGACTCGTCAACGCGTGGGACGCGATCGTTCCTGTTTCGTTTACTTCAATGTCAGCCTTGTGGACGATCGCCGACACGTACAGGCCCTCAGTGTCGGAGACCAGGCGGAAGCTAGCCGTTTTCGGGTCGAAAATATCCACCACGCTCATGCTCTGAAGCGGCCTGTTCAAAATGACGTTAGTGCTGATCTTGAAACGCGGCAGGTTTACCATGACGCTCCTCTCGCCGAAAATTTCATTGTCCACCTCCAGCAGCTCCAAAATATCCCTCATGCTGACCGTCTCTACACAGCTATACACTTCGGCTAATTTCACGCCAACGTGCGGCAGAACAGCCAGGAAGGAATAGTAATCATTATACGGTAACTCCAAAACCATTGCGGAGATCTTTGTTACGTTGGAAACTTGGAACTTATTCAGTTGCTGCATCATATTGACTATTCGAATTTCCTTCTGCTCCTCGTCGTAGAAGGGTAACACACGCGTTTCTGATACATTGAAAGACAATCGCCAAAAGCCTTTGAACGATATCACGTTGGTCAGTATCATCTTTGCGTTCCTGAAGTCGTCGGAGCGGAACACGTCGGATATGCTCGCGTCAGATTTCTGAATAACACTGTTGGCGTTGGCCGCCGCCTCTTCCGGGGACGCGAATCTCGCTCACGATACTCCGACGGAATTCCGACTTCAGCGCGAAACCGGAATCCACGAAGAGATAGTTTTCATTCTTCAAGATAACTTCCGGAGTCTTTGGCCTAACCCATAAGTAAACAAGTTCATTTATATAAAGCACTAGCGACCCGCTCCGGCTTCGCACGGGTGCAATGTATTATACATATAAACCTTCCTTCCTAGAGTGACTTAACTGTGGCCGTAGTCCGTGTATTATCGAGTGTCTATAATTACGTATTAAAGAGGTTTCGACTGTTACATTAAACGATTGTCTCGTACTTATTAGTTTCATAGCGAACGCAATACCACGTGGTGGTGGCAATGTTTGTGCTCTCGATTTTCCTGCTCCAATCGGCGACATGTCAGGGTATACCGGAGTTCAGTGACCGAGCGGGACACTTCAGCGTGGAGCTGATGTATTTCACCGCTGAAGAGTTGAACTGGCACACCGTGTTATCGCCCTTCGGTGTGTGGAACCTTCTCATCGGTGTATCTAATAATAAAAGCTTGATAGCTTAACAGACAGCTGAGGATGATATCCTTTTGACCATAGATAATGGAACCAGAACTTGCAGGAAGTTCATCGTGCTATCAACTCCTCTGTCCACGAAGGGACACAATTCAGCATATTATCTCAACCACGGACGGCAGATGATAACGGATGACACTGTTTTAAAATTTGTAGAAAAAAGATGCGGGAATCGAACCCACGTCTTCCTGATTCTCACCCAAAGCTTTAATCACTCAGATAAACGGCTGATGGCCACACCAACAAAAATCCCCACAACATTCATCTACATTCTTTTTTTGCATTTCAAGCAATCCTTGGCGCACATATTATTAAATCCTTAACAGCAAACAAACAATTTCAAATATCGTTTTGCAACGAGAACGAGATATTGCCATTCCTATATGATTTTTTAAAGTGCCAATCTCTGCACTTTTTTTATGTTAAAAGTTGCCAAAAAGCGAGAAGGCGGTTCACCTGATGTTAAGTGAATACCGCCGCCCATGCCCCCGAGGGTTGCAGATGCGTTGATATTTGAAAATTGGGCTCGGGCTACCTCACTCACCAGACGAAACGCGAAAGTATTATACTGCCACTTCACGCCGGTCTTCTGTTAGGTTGTGGTACTTACCCGGACGAACGTGCCCATTCGTGCATCACCCGAGGCTGCTGCGTGGCGCTACCACAGTTAAAAATTGTGGTAGGGCCTTAAGATGAAATATTAAGTTGTAGAAACTAACTCTGAAATACCACTGGATTGAAACGTTGTTACGCTTTTTGTTGAGTCTTTTTCTTATGGACAACCTAAACTTAAGGAAGTTTATGAACAGATTGAGAAAATATGATAGATAAACAGTACAGTAAGAACATGAAAAATTACAAACCTATGAAAGAGGCCGTTTGAATTCAGTAAAGGTCAAATCGTAAAGAAGAAGTAGAAGTTTTCCTTTGCCTAACAACTCTAAGCAGTTATCACCTAAATTAGGAACGGTGTGTTTACTTATATCACTATGCAATGAAAAACTAGAATAAATAAAGTCGACTGCAAGTTACTTTTCATTATTGTCGTTTGTACATTTTTGCTCCTCCTTTCTGATAGGTGCTTTTTTTATAACCTTTATTTATACTTCCGTACCAAAATGGTAAAATATAGGGTACCGTCCTATTAAAAAGACTACGCTGTCTGTCCGTCCATCAGCAATCTGCATCTCACGAACCGTGATAGTTAGACAGTTGAAATTTTCTCAGATGATGTATTTCTGTTGCCGCTATAACAACAAATAAAAACTAAAAAACGGAATAAAATTATTTAAGTGGGGCTCCCATACAACAGACATAATTTTTTTGTAGTTTTTATCGATAATGGTACATGGTGATTTACATAAATTTCTCTTACTTATTGTATTTTAAGTTGCAATTTCGAAGAAATTAACCGAAAGATATTTTGCACTTTCTGTTCGTAAATTTTTACTTAAAAATTAGAATGGTTTACCTCAAAGATGGCGCAGGCCATCCAGATCTAACTCATAATGTATAGTAATTATAATAGCATGCTATTTATGCTTAATAATATTTTAAACTTTCATTGTTTGTTAGGTTAGGGATTGAGGTAAAAGTCTATATAAAGGAAAAATTTATTTAAACACTAGTACGTGCAGAAATGCTTCCAGCATTTATTTTACCTATTTTTTAAATTTAAATTCCATATTTTTATAAAATTTATAAGTCTACTTCTTTAACAGTCGCTGGGAAGCCATCGCTTTGTTATTAATTCGAAGTGCAATCGCCTTCAGGCCAAAGGTTATTAATAAGAGAGATGATATAAAAACTCATTTAAATAAAAGTAGATATAGATGAATTCTTATTCAGTAAAACATTAAACTTATACTTGTAGCATAGGAGATTTAAAACACATCTTCAATTTACCTTACAGTAAAGTTAAAAATTATTATATTTTTTTAACTGCTTGTACAAATTGTCTTGAAAATTGGGCGCTTTTGTAACAGTGGCCACATGAAATTAACTGTAGGAATAGCTTAAAGTGCTTTGGATGCTAGCTAATATTCAAATTCAAGAAATCAAATAGTTTATAAACATGAACACAGCTCCGGGCAACACCAGGCATTCTCGCTAGTAGTATGCCCTTGAATTTTACATGTTGGACGCAAAAATCACGGTATTTATCTTACTAGTAAGTGGAATGAACGAAAAGCAAAAGGTAAGACCTTTTGCTTTTCTTTCATTCGATAATTAAGCTATCAAAATGTTTCGGTTATGGCTTAATACCTCCTGTTGATAATTTTAATTTTTGACGAGCATAAATATTTAAATGAAACAAAAAAAAAACAGGGGGTTTTATAAATACTAATGTCAAATTCATTTTTGTTTCACGGACACTATACATGAAATAATAATACACCTCATGTATTGAAATCCGTCTGAAGGTTCAGTCTGTAGAACGTGCCAAATAATTATACATACATACATACGCTCGAAAAACGTAACTCTCCTTCGGTAGTCGGGTAGAAACTAAACTAAAACACCACAACGTTTGATTTTACGTAATGTTCTAATTCATACATTTTTTAGAAATCTGAAAAATTCCATTTCGAGACATGTCACCGAAGTAAATAATCACAACTTCAAAAATACATAAGATATAATTGCTCGTTTCGTAGTTATTCATATAAAGGCAAAAGGACATAAATATCTAATTTAGAGAAAAACGTATGACATTTACAAAGCATATTGAGTGATTATTTTCATACTTACCTTAGCTGGAAAATGTATTAAGTCTACACCAGCTTTTTTGTGACAAAAAGAGCATATCTATATTAATTATCCCCGCTAATTCATTACCATCTAGATTTGAATACTTTTGTGTTTCGTCTGGTGAGTGAGGTAGCCGGAGCCCAATTTAAAAAAGGTTGTCAACACATCTGGAACCCTCGGGTGTAGCAGATGTCCGTGGGCGGCGGTATTCACTTAACATCAGGTGAACCGTCTGCTCGCTTGGCAACTTTTCACATAAAAAAAAAAATCACGCTTTATGTATTTTTATAGCGTGAACTGTAAGTTTTATACTTTTGCCGTTTATCTGGTGGGTGAGATGACCAGGGCCTAGAATTTTTAAAGCTTAACACAACACACCTTTAACGTGTAATATAGAAGTCCATTGACGCCGGTAAAACTTAACACGCGGTAATACACCTGCTCATTTGCCATAAAAATCATCTATTTTCTATCAAACCAAAATATAATCCACCTTAAAACTAAAGTTAGAATTAGAATATTATATTAAATTATTAAAAACGGGTGCAATGCATATAAACTTCCAATTATATAAACCTTCGTCTTGAATCACTCTATCTAGAAAAAAAACTGCTTCCAAATCCGTTGCGTACCTTAAAGATCTAAGATCTAAGATCTATACCTAGCAGGCAGACAGCGGGACTACTTTGTTCTATACTATGTAGTGATGATAGTCAAATTCAAGATCAAAATTCATCATATCAATTCGTCTCAATTAGTTCTCTAACATTCGCCTTTAAGCCTTTATGGCTTCATTAGTCAATTAGCGTATTAGACCGTCGTCATTGGAGCTATTAAAATATCGTGGGTTTCGAGTAGGCTCCGCTAAAGATGATGGTCCCTGTGGACTTTTCGATGATGAAGTAGAGGAAGGGCCGGTTAGCGTTGAAATTCCCGGGCAGCGCACGATCGGCGAAGTACGCCGATGTCGCAGCGGACGCGACCGTTCCTGTTTCCGTCACTTCTATGTCAGCCTTGTGGACGATCGCCGAAACATACAGGCCCTCATTTTTCGAGATCAGGCGGAAGCTAGAAGTATTCGGGTCGAAAATATCTACTACGCCCATGCTCTGAAGTGGCCTGTTCAGGATAACGTTTGTGCTGATCTTGAACCTCGGCAAGCTGACCATTACCTTAGACTCGCCGAACATCTCGTTGTCCGACCGCAGTTTCTCCAAGATATCTCTTATGCTGACCTTCTCTAAAGCGCCGTACACTTCGGACAGTTTCACTTCGAAGTACGGCAGGACAGCCAGGAAGGAATAGTGGTCGTCCACACCGTATGGCAACTCCAAAACCATAGAGGAGATCTGGGCGATATTGGAAATTTGAAAGTCATTCTGTTGCTGCATCATGTTTACTTTGCCGATTTCTTTGTGGTTCTCGTCGTAGAAGGGTAGCACGCGCGTTTCTGTTTCATTGAAAGGCATCCGCCAAAAGCCTTTGAACGATATCACGTTGGTCAGTATCATCTTTGAATTCCTAAAGTCGTCGGAGTGGAACACATCAGATACGCTCGCGTCAGATTTATGAATAACGCTGTTGGCTTTGGCCGCCGCCGCCTCCGGGGACGCGAATCTCATTCCTGTCACCTTTGCGCCAAAGTCGTTTACGATACTCAGCTGAAATTCAGCCTTCAGCCCGAAACCGGAATCCACGAAGAGATAATTTTTGTTCTTCAACATAACCTCCGTCGTCGGAGGCTTGATCACGTCCTTAATGAACTTGTTGTAGTCGCTCGCCAAGCCGTTACTTTTCTTCGACAAAAAAAGACCACGCCGCAGCTGCTCATGGCCGTTCCCAGTCGTGCCCATGGATACACCAATGAGGAGGCTCCACACGCCCAGGGGCGATATCACAGTGTGCCAATCCGTCTCCTCAGCGGTGTAATACAGCAGCTCCACGCTAAAATTGCTCGCTCTGTCACCGAACTCCATTATGCAATGGCATGCCGCCAATAAGGTAAGAAAAATCGGGAGCACAATCATTGCGACCACTACGTAGTGCCGCGTTCGCTAAGAGACTAATAAAATAAAATATTTAGTACACGACCATCAATGACTGTTTACGGAACGCCGTTTTATATGTAAGTAGAAGTACTTGATAAGACACGGACTATGGACATTCCCGACCCAAAACAAAACAAGTTTGATAAAGCATTTACGCTTGCGAATTTTATACGACTTATTCCGTTACGCACAAAATATGGCTAATTAAATTTATGTTCTATTAAGGTCTTGCCATCTGAAAAAATTTACCATAAATACCTTTCCAGATGGATGGATACGGAACTATTAATTTTAACTTTTACTTTCGCCACGGAGTGATCAAGCGAGTGGTATTCGCGGAATAAGCACAATTTCGCCTGAACCACACTCAATGACGATCTCAGCTTCAAAAAATGAAATCAGCCGTTGCACAATTTTACATCGACTTTGAGGGTCATTTTAGACGCAGGAAGGCAAATTGCAGTAAGCGAACTTAAAAACTCAACCGGCTAATTTTTGGCGTCGCGTTGTCTTCATTAACGATACTTTTAGAATATATTTTTCATTTATTGTAGTGAGCATAATGCTTTCACATAACCAAGAATTTTGCTGATTTGCTGATTAGGAAAATTCTTGGTTATGTGACACTTGAAAGTTCTCCAAATACTGAACTTATCGGTTTGTTTTGGGAGAACACGACTGTACCAAGTGTGTCCGGAAGACACATCTGGCCATTTTTTCTGAAAGGATATCCTTTCTGCCTTCTTCAATTTTAACAAAACATCAAAAAATTCTTGGGCATGTAAAATAAGTTCGGACGTTGACAATTTCAACCGCAATTTATGTTCTTGAGACCAGATATAATTACACTTCAGTGAAGCATTTATTTTGTCAGCGTTAGTCCCCCGAGTAATGACAGGACAGGTGTGTCAAAAATCTCTAGAGAAAACCGTCACGTTCCCTATTGGCCTTTCATCACGGTGTACTGTCACTGGTATATATATATATACAAGAATTGCTCGTTTAAAGGATAAGATTGTATATCCATCTATTGATATAGAAAATTGCAAAGGAATCTGTCAGGTTTTAGAAAATGATAATAAAATTTAATCTTTATCCGACCCACAGGGTGACACTAGACGTGTAAACGACATGGGAACGGGCTAAAATATTTGTAGATGAATAAGATCTTCATTAAAAAGAAAATAACGTCGATTCTGTTGGCTTACTCAAGTTCAATATCACGCTGATGCCGCTTTTAGCGTACGTTACGAAAACACTATTCGCTTATTTAACGTGGGCACCTCGAAAAGTCCGAGCGAGCGGATGGTTTGCTGTGAAAACAAAGAGAAGTTGAAGTTGTTCAAAGTAGCAGCTGCACCGGTCCCACGTTGAACGACTTATTCTGCGAACACGAGTCGAAACGCAAATATCTCTCTCTCTCTCTCTCTCTCTCTCTCTCTCTCTCTTCATCCATATCCTTATTATGTATCGCAACGGATCCAAGTCACTCGACCTCTCTGCTTACTGCTTGAAAATTACCTTTGATAGAATCGATACTTTATGTTGACTTATATTTTAGGAATCGAGATACGTCACCTCGGCAGAAATTATTAAGTATTGTTGAAGATTCGGGCATTAAAATTCAAAAAAACACGTAGGTCTTCATTGGTGTATAATTAGCGTTAGAATGTAACAATTATTTAGTGCAAGTTTTAAAGAAAACTTTACAATTTAGGTACTTGATTCAGCGAGGGTATCACGTGATAGGCGCATTATTTACATTATTTACACATACTTTTCTATCTTTACAATAAGCAGGCACTTCATCTGACATCCGAAACAGTAACGGGGTATTAGCTGCGTTGGTAATATTAAAGGTGTACGAGTAAATCCTCTTCCGAACAAAACAGAGCAGGAACGAAAATATTTCAACTTTACGTGAGAATAATACATACTGCGGTGAACAATAACTATGATAACTCGAACGAGAGGTGTCGTCATTGCTATTTTAAAATGTCATTTCAAGATGAAACAAAAAATGTAGAAAATCAGACGAAAAAACAATGTAAATAAAATACCTTGAGATTTTCGTATGCCTGGCAATCAGTCGTTTAGGTAAATGGTTAAAGCGTCCGGACGCGAATCCTAGAGTTGATTTTAGTTCCCACAGTGGCAAAAAAGTTTTCATTTTTTTCTACAAATTTTAATATACTAATAAACTTTATTATTATTTTTATTATTTATTATATGTTACAGTTTTCGAGATACTTAAAAATGGAATATAGAAATTTCCTCTCTGTTTGCTGACTTTCTTCTCGTTTCCTATCTCTAATTTAAATAGCACGGATATATTTTCGTTGAAAATTTACTACTATCTACTTGCAGTAAAAACTCTGATATTAATGATTAGAACAGAGTAATTTATCTCGAATATCCTAACCGTGCCAGCGTTTTCCACGAGTCTGAGCCATGAGATTAATTATGCTACTTATAATAATCAAAAACAATAAAGAGGCAGCTGTGCATAAAAGTGAAGAAAATGATACAAATACGATATCCTAAATAAGATTCGTGGCTAACCTAGTGTCCGGGCGCTCGCCTTTTTATTTTCTACATTCAATGCATTGTTTATTTGCAGTGTTAATTCACCTCATACCGATCAAAGAAAACATCGTTAGGAAGCCAGCATATTTAAACTCTATCAAAATATTTCCAAGATGAAATCCCCAATCCACTATATTGTCCCCTAGAGAGCCAATCCTAACATTCACTTCTTAGTAAAATTCTTGAATAACCTCTAAACAGATAAGACATCTGCCCACACGTGTGATAAAGACGTTAGTATAACAAACATACGGCTTTTTTTTTTATAAAGAAAATATTGCCCTTTCTTTAGGATAACATTATCGTGTTTTGTAAGGACTTATAAACATTAATTTCACGTGGACAAACACCCAGATGCGGAACAACTGTCTGTGGGACACACAAATAGTTGTTCCGCGTGGGGATCGAAGACAGGACCCCCAACGTCGAAGCCAATACCTTGACAACTGCGCCACGGAGTAATCAATGTTTAAATAATATGGTTTATAATATAAAATATTAGCTTGATATTTTTTTATCCATCTAAGAAAATAGAAATCAATCACGGAGTCGCTTTTGTACGTTATTTATTTATTTATTTGTTATAAACAAAGGGTCCGTCTCACGTCGCTCTAAGTAATGCGAACTAATGACGAAAACAAGCACATGCAAGCTATTTGAAAAGCTTTCGATTGTATGTAACTTCTCACTGGAAAAACCCTCATGCACCAAACATATAAAGCGACACTGGTATTCAGAAGGGAGTACGTACAGGCATAAATGATCATATAATACGAGCAATGTACCAAGAACAGTACATACCCATGTTGAACTCAGTGATATTGGAAATGTCGTACATTGGAAAAGGAATTTCTCGTACTCAGTTTTGCATTCGACATTGAAACGACGCGATTATTGAGTGATACCGAATTTGCTTTGTTTAGTATCATCAACGAGTATGTATAAAAATATGAAATAAGATCAGTAAGAAGTTAAATTGCAGGGTATTTGTGTTCATACAGATGTGTATTAAATTGCATGCGCTATATCAAGTTAATCGAATCCACCTTTCATTTATGAAGTAAAACTTCTTTAGGCGCGACTAGGGAGTAACTCAGATTTTTTCTGACAGAAGTGACGCTTTTTCTGAAGGAAGTCATATTTTTAAAATGTGACATATACTTATGACGTTACTAAATATTTAATTCAATGAATTTCAGTGAATTATGCCGTCAAAGCCAAAGAAGTTTTACTTCAATCGCGCGTAAACGTTACACGCACACACTTTTTTTATGTGGCAACCGAGCTGACGGTTCACCTGATGTTAAGTGATAACTACCTCCCAGTCTTTACTGTTGCACGAAGCGGCAAGTACGTCCGGGGAATTACCCCGACTTCACAGAAGACCGTGGAAGAATTGGAAGTATTACTTCTGCGTTTCGTGTGGTGAGTGAGGTAACCGGGGCTTAATCGAAAAGTGGCAAAACATCTGCAACCCTACTGGTACTGCAAATATTCATGGGCGACGGTTATCAGTTAACATCAGGTGAACCGCCAGCACGTTTGCCACCTTCAACCGTAAAAAAAAATTGAAATTTAACAAAACATCATAACATAAAGGCAATTTAAAGGTATGCCTAGATTGTATACGCGCTCGGCGTAAATACTCGACGTGTGTTCTGAAACCCGCGTATAATTATGTCATAACATGACCGCAGAGCACAGTTAATTAACCGCCATGTTTGTTTTAGCCGATACGATGATAATATAATGCTCGCGTACACAATGTTATTTATAGCAATTGATTAATTCAAATGCTTACAAAATTAAAACAGTATAACAGTGTCGATTTTTTAGTCGAATGTTTTAATGTTATATGGTTATAAAATTTTCCATCCGGACAATAATTCTAAAGCTACCAGCACTGATGAAGCATCCATATTAGTGCACTTACCTATATTATAGGATATACAGTAGCGAACAGCTAAATCGATTCACCCCGACAAAATGTACCAAAAATGCATTTTTGTACACAAAATTAAATATACTTTGAAGTGAATGATGATGTCATTTAAAATGATGCCAATATTTTTAAAATCTACTCAGTAGGTTTATTTAATTAACCAAATTGAAATGGAAATGCAAAAAAAGTGAAAGTATGTAATGTTAGAGATAAGTAGATAGTTAAAATCAAAATCTAAACACAAAATTACTGAGGAAAAATGAAATTTATTTTTTTAATATCTGGTGTTGCCACCCCTTGCCTTAACAACAGATCGTAAGTGTTTGTCATCGACCGTTATATTTATCTGGTTTGATCTTGAGGAAGCCCTTCCGACTTCTGTTCTAACGATAGCTTCAGC